CAACAGTAGCAAATTTGTACCCTTCAGCAGTTAACACTATATCCAAGTTCCTTTTCTAGTCAATATAATTGGGACCAACAAGTTTGTTTTCTTTGAGAAATACGGACAACGGATTGAAAGACATTTTGAATTAATGGGATCATGCAAACATAGTCTTTACTCAGTCAAGTAGTTTTGAATTTATACATCAAATATTGATCCCATTAAACAACATTTGAATAAATTCACCAACACCTCAAAACACCGAATCCCCGCAGGCCACGGAGTGTGGACGTCTACGGTTCAAATATTCGCAAGAGGAGGGATAAATCCCAGTAGCTTGACATACTGCCCAACAATACTCAACTAATAGTCGGTTTCATCTTTTGGCCAGCGCAATTAAATTTTTAAAAGAATAATCTTCATAAAAGAATAAAAACGACCTTGTCCTTTAGGACTATCGTAATTATTTGCACTTTAAGTGTAACCCATTAATTGGTACTAAGTTTACTACCAAAATTATATGTCCACCTTTGGGTGACCCGTACGCTTTTGAAATAGCTCACTATAACCATCCCGAAGAAGATTCGTCCTTGTGAACTGTGAAATAAAATGTCCTTTGGGCTCGAATTAAACACTTCACTGACAAACCTATAATGGAGGCCTTGGATGTAATTTATTTCAACCCATTACACACTTAATATAATTTTTATTTTATGGGATTTTCTTAACATGTTTGTATTTGCACATAAGCAATCACGTAAAACATGCATGATTAATGAGCAATAATAAACTAGGAAATATAATCCAACTATCATGGCCATTAATCAATCTCCAATGTTACGGAGAAAACACAGTCCTGTCCTTGTTGAGTGTGCCCTCCATTTCGGGTATTGGAACTCCCTCTTTCGCAGTGACTCCCACTGAATTGGTCGTCTCCGGAAAAGTCGCCATTGGATAAACACCATGACATCCGTGTACGTGTTTATCTCCTTGCCCCGTCAAGGTTGGTCCACGCCCGCCGGATCAATAACGAATAATATAAACAACAATT